CTCAATCCTGGATGGATATTCACCCTGGATGGATATTTATCCTGGGAGTCCTTCTATCCTGGACGACCATTTATCTTGGATAACCACTTTCGAGACTATGGTCCTTTCTTTGAGCACACACCTGGCAGCACTTACTCCATCTAGAACTGCCTCTCTCCATGTATCACGCAGATGCCAGCTCTAAACCCATTCATCTTGACCAACCAGCACATTAGCCCACTTCCTCGTCTCTCCATCTCTCAAAATTGTAATCCACATCGCCACAACTGCCCCTTTGTTCAGGATCTATCACAGAGGAAATCGCCACCGAGGTGAACGATCGTGACCATACTGCATCCAAATCCGCCCAATCCAGGACGGTCCTTATCCTGGATGACCCGCCCGTTGCACTATCGCGTCTTTTCTTCGCCCTTTTGCTTGGCACCCAAGTCAAGTTCTGTCATGGCGTGGCCGCCTCAGGGACTACTCCTCACAACTGGAAATCGCTTCAGCTCAGCAACTGGTTCATTTCTCCGACACGGCAATGGCTCCTCCTTCGACGACTTTGCTTCCCATCACGGCGCAACTCCCATCGCCTCCCAGTGGGGCCGCCGGTAGCTTGGGTGATAGCAATGCTGACGCGGGTGTGCCTGACAGCCAGGGTGGCAGTGACCCAGTGCCTGCAACCGAGCCCACTCCACCCTCTCGTAGTCCACCACACCGCAACCCAGTGAGCTCTGATTCTGATGAGCTCATGCAAGAAGGAGGAGGCAAGGACACCGTGGATGCAGGCACGAGCCTGGCCATCCCTGCGCGCGTATTGAGTCGTTTCCGTGCGGTTACGCATCGTCACCCCTTGTCACTTCCTCCACAACGGCGCACAACGATGGTCCCGGAGGTGGTGCCAGCCAGTTTCCCGCTGTCGGCGGTTCACCAGCTTTCAGATCACACGTTCTTCGTGGGCATTCCTGCGCGGTCACAGCACCTGGTCGACGCCAAATACACGCTGGATGGATAAGGTGGCCTGGAAGTTCTTCAGTGCGTTGATGGCTTCACGGCAGTGGACCTCCAGGATCTGGTCGCACTCGTTGACCAGGGCGGCGATGTTGATGCACTCACTTTGCATCCTCTCTCAGATCACCCTCTTGACATAGCAGAGCTGGAAGGCATGATCAATTTGACGTTGATACGTCGTGAATTTGCGTCAATCTTGTCACACTACAGTCCGGATCGCCTCGCTCAGAAAGTGTTCGCGTCAACAACCTTCCTGAAACGCCTGTTGACTAAGTTCCGCCAATTGCGCGCTCAGATGGACCCGAATGCCAGCACCGCCATCCAGAATATGTTGGATGCCCAAGTCGAGACCACCAGGGTGAGGGCCGATTACGCCACTCTGCACGAGTTCTACTGGGGCGAAGCTCGACGTCTACAGGAACAGTTGGACGCAGCTCATCATCGTCGTCAAAGTGACCTGCGTGGGGTCTTAGCTGGGCATGATTTGGAAACGCCAGTCTTTCGCGAGGGGGTTGGTAAGCTGCGCTCCCAGGTGGAGAACCTGCGACACCTGGGTCGCACTCGTTCTGGTTCACGTTGCCTCAACGTCCCTAAATTGATGAACTTCCTGAATCGCGACCAGACACGAGTCAACGACAACTGGAAACGGCTTCAGAGTCTCTTGGAGCATTTCGTGATGGTGTCGCCCTTGAGAAGTCATGGAGCAGTTTTATCGCGATCACAGCAGTGGATGACCCGTTTGCCCAAGGCTCACCATTCGCCACACTTGCTGAGGATGACTCGGACGAAGAAGAGAAGGATCAAAATGGTGATCAAGACGACGGCGCCCAGGGAAAGAATGCTCAAGGTGGCAAGGACAACGAGGTCGACTTGACACACCAGGATTCCGATACCAGTGAACCCTCGTCACGGAAAACTACACCCACCAAAAAGAAGGGGTCGCGCGGTTCTTCACGCAAGGTCCCTGACCGACCACAGTTGCGCCCTTCTGGATGGGCTCCATCTGCTGATGAGGCTCGCTCTCCTTCGAACCAGTTGATGTTTCTGGAGTCGGACGTTCGGGAGAGCATAAAAAATGAGCCAGTGGTGTGGGATACTCTTCTCTTCGTCCTGACGTGACCCTGTTAATGCGTGCGGGCATCGGTTACCATGGTTCCATCGCCATGTTGAGTGGAGAAGTCATGACCCACAATTTGTTACCACCATCGGCGCTCGTAGATATGTTGGCAAGTATGATGTTCTGGAATCGGTTGGACGAATCATTCTGGACCAAATATGGCCCAGAGCGATACTATCTCCGCTCAGCATTACGCTTGGATTCTTTGCACTCTGAGGGGGTTCGCCCTGGATACTGGCCTGATCTAGTGGACGCCGACGTGCGTGTGGCCCAGGCGGTCATGGACGATGCCAGCAGCGAACACGATGGTGTGCGGCGCGATGCCAACTACAACCCGGATGACGACGTCGACATCCAGGATGATGATGATGTCCCGGGTGGGGATAATGTTCCATCAGCCCCGAAACGTCGTCGCACTTCCCGTTCGTCACATTCTGATGCACCGGTGACCCAGTCCTCTGCCGCTACTGACACACCGCCAAAACGTATGTGTTATGGTAGTCTGCGTCGTCAGTCACCCCTGGCACAAGTTGACTCAGGCAGTCTCACTGTGGCAGACACCGAGGTCGTGGTAGTTCCGGGTCCAGGAATCTCATCGTGGTGTCATTACGGAATTTTGATGACTTTCGCCCCTTCATCGGCTCACGTGGTGCATCAGTCCGCAGGTTTCCCGGATTATGCGACCAACAAAGCTGGTGGCATCCAGACTCTGTAACAGCGCTTCATTCTGGCTGACGTGCAAGCTTTACTGGCTACGGAGCCTAGGGTGACCATGTTCGAGAATCGTGTGAAGCGCTTGTCCTACATTCATACAGCACTTTGGCACCTCACGCCAGAATGGCTTTGGCTAAGTATGTCCTATTCGTGGAGGAAAACGCGTCAGGATCCTGGCATGGTGGCCACTGGTTTGCTATTGACACGTCCACTCAGTGTGGTGCTGACATGCAGCGCGAGCGTAAGCGCCAATGGAATGCCCTGGCTCGAACTGTGGAGACTAAGCAACGAGAATGTGTTGCCGAGGGCGTGCCATCCAAGATCTTCTGGGAGGCAGCATACCGGTCGTTACCGTCGAAGCCTTGCTATTGGATTTTCATGAATTCAAGATCGCTCAACAGCCGTGGCAGCCCATATTCGCTGACAGAGCAGCTCGAGATCCTGGATCGTCGCGAGCCAGCATGAGTGCAGCGGGGCACTGCAACAAGTGATGAAGAGCTGGTGGAACATATTCCCAAGTCAGTGTCGGTGAGTCTCCTTGCTGAGAAAGCTCGTCGAGATAACCTAGCTTCGCTCACATATGATTGACATGCTCCATTTCGTATTTTATCACAGTGGCTTGAGTTGTCGTAGGGCTAAACCAATGCATTCTAATACATGGCATTTCCACCTTGTCTTGGTCATGTTCGCTTACTTATAAATTTGGAATTTATCTCAGAATCATGTTGAATATTGACTCACCATCCAGGGTTCAGTCATAAAAAGCCATCCAGGAACATAGGTAATTCAAGAAAACACTCCACAGTCGAAAATATCCACAAATTCGAGACGGTTCACAGGATTCATCAATCTGGGTCTGAATCAGTGGGCCATCCAGGATTGATAGATGAGCACAGCTAAATTTGGGGATGGTCATCACCAGCCTGCATCGCCCTGAAGCGTGCTCTGGCTCTGGCGCCTTGGTTGAATTCGTACAACAGGGCTCCACAGTTGAGTTGCTACAGTGGTATCCATTCCGGATCGACGTATTCCTTCCACTTGACAAGGTAATCTCTAGTCCTTCTGATTGTGTGGGTGCGTTTAGTTCATCGGAGACCCAGGCCTCCTTCCACTTCGTACTCACCATCCTGGTTGTTTGCTTCCCAACTATCTTCGGACAACAATTCTGCATCCAGGTCATCATTTTCGTCCAGGGTGATTTCATCAATAGGTCTCCTCGGGTAGAGTGCCCGGGGCTTCAGACGACTCACATGCACCCAAGGGTTCACACGATATCCAGGTCCGTCAATCTTCAACTTCACCCTGAAATCATCGTGTACTTCGTCAATTCTGAAAAGACCACGCCACAGGTGTTCCAACGTGCGACTCAACCCTGGTTGTACTTTGGGTATATACAACCACATTGCGTCGCCCCTTTCGAATCCAGATTTCAAACGCTCTGAAAGATCTCTCCTCTTCTGGGTCTGAGCTTCTGATCTCAGGCGCTTTGCCTTCTTCTGTAAGTCCTTAGCACATGCTCGTGCATAACTATAGTCCCGCTGAAACTTCCTTCTCCATTCGTACGCAGTCCGTTCTGGAAGGCTGGGCGGCTTAGGTCCTAGCATGGAAGGTACGGTGCCTTGAGCATCCCAACAATGGACGAGATATAATGGTGTATCCAGGCGGGTCGCGTCAAAAGCTGTGTTCAGGGCGAACATCAACCGCTCGGCATGATCATCCCAATCTGACTGATCTGCCTCGGCAACATACGCTCGCACGGCCTGGATAACAGTCTGAACAGAACGTTCTTGTTGTCCATTGGCCTTGGGTTGGTACCTCAAGGTGGATCTTTGACGGCTGCCTAGGGGTTCCCTGAATCGGGTGAAAACTTCACTCATGAACCTTGGGTCTTGATCGTGGCGGATTATTTCTAAAGCGCCAAACATCCTGAACACCTGTTCCTCATATGATTCGGCTACATCTTGGGCCGCCGTGGAGGACATCGGTTTACACATCACGAATCCTGAAAACATATCTTGGAATAAGAGCAGGAAAGTATTTCCTCGCTCTGACTTCGGCAGGTGTGTCATGAAATCCATCGGGACCACCTCAAATGGTCATCTTGGTTCGATGTTTCCAGGTGATGGGCCTGGGTTGGACGGATGTCCCTTACCACTCGCACAATCCACACACTCTTTTACGCGCCGTTCCACGTCGGCATACATCCCGGGTCAGTAAACTTTTCATGAGTCCGTTTGATGCCCTGGTGTCCCCCCTGAAAATCTTCATGAGCATAGTGCAGAATATCTTCTCTCAGAGTGACTGGTACTACCAGTCGTAATTCATCCTGGGCATCTCGGGGTCTGCCTCGGGTGGACTGGGCCCATCGATACAGCACTCCACGGGCGTCCAGAGCAAACAGGCCTGCGACCTTAGCGATCTTCCGCAGTCAGTGTAACGTGAAACGATCGACTTCTCGTTCAGGAAATCTCTCAAATCACACCGATATTCATCTTGCTCTTGGTGTACCTTAATTCGCCACCACCTCTCTCGTTGATTATCCGAAGGATCGAGAGGTTCAGATGACACCGTTGGTCTCGGACACTAGCTCGTGTCACAGCAACCAAGATTTTGGCTGCACGTGGCAGTGGAGCTGCCATGACATCCAGGGCAGAGGGGCATCCAGGAATGTCTGAACGGCCTTCTTCTTCCTGGGGGACGACCGATCCTGAATGACCGGTCACCACGTGACCCTCGGCTGACTTCATCAACTTCTCTTGAATCTTGGACACTCGTTCCATGTGTTGACGTTCTCCGTCTTCCTGGACACTCCAGGATCTTCCGAGCAACAGTGTCCTGGAAGTCAGGAAGTCCGCTGTCTGATTGAAGTCCCGCTTGACGTGTACCAGTCTCACCAAATCGAACTTTGCCTTCAATGCTTCACAACTGGTCAATCTCCTTTGCGAATTAGGCTGATTACAGTTAATCCGACCCTGTACTTGCTGGATGACAATGCGTGAGTCTCCCACAGCGATCAGTCTCTAACGCCCCTGGCCTGCGCCATGATTAAACCATTCAGCAGCCCGCAGTACTCGGCGTCATTCACAGTGACGTCATCCAGGATGAAACCCTGTGCATCTAGGTTTTTCCATCCGGGGAGTTTTCACAAAATACATCCACAACTACCTTGCCGGGATGACGTCTTGGCGGCACCATCAAAGCTTAGAACGATGCCCTCGAAAGAATCTTTCAACATCTCCACGCTGATTATCGGTGGCGGTTTTGCACACCCCTTGGCAGGAATGAGCTCGTCGACTTCGTCTAGATGCTCCCGTGGTGTGATGCCGGCACGCAGGATGGCAGCTAGTCTGTGTTCGTCTCGCTGGATCTTCCTGACGTCCAAATTCCATTGCCAACCCAGGGTACGCATCTCCCGTCTGCCGTCTTGGATTTCATGATCCACTTCAGGACTGAGTGTCTACTATCCACGATGAGAGGGCAACCCTGAATGAGTGTTCTGAACACCCGCGGTACTCTCAAAACGTCGATGAATTTCTTTTCTGCAATGTGGTATCTCAACTCCGCTTGGTGGAGAACACGCCCCGTAAAACGCACTGGCTGGATCAAACCGTCATGTGCTTGACCCAGGACCGCACAGGCAGCCCATCGATTTGCATGGGGTATAATGACAAACGGTATGGTCCTATCAGGATGCTTCAATACTGGGGTCGACACGATATTGTGTTTCAGGATTTCAACCGCCTGTTTTACCCTGGATAGATCTCGTCCTGAACGCACTTAGTCATTCGAGAGTTCATACAGGGAGGCTGCGATTACGGGGTAGTCTTCGATGAATTTATGATAGTAATTCAGGCTGCCCAAGAAAGATCGCACTCCCTTCATTGTAGTTGGGAACGATAAATCCTGAACACCCTTGGCGATCTTCGGTGGTGCCCTGATTCCTTCAGCGCTAATCTCATGCGACAGACACGGAATGGTCAGTTTCCCGAACTCGCTCTTCGGCAGACTCACTGAGATATTCCAATACCGCAGCCTGTATAACAAGGCATCCAGATCAGCACACAATGCATCCCAAGTCGGTGCGCCATGTGCGATATCATCGATATAAGAGCTGCGACCTAAGACAGGTGACATCTGCGTCGGAGCAGGGATGTTCCTCTTGAACACTGTAATCTGGTCCGCCAGGGTCGGTAACGACCGAGAAGTATGGTCGTCTTCACAACCTGTACACCCTGGAGTGCTATACCCTGGAGGTCCATCATCCTGGGCGTCCAGATTCAGGTAATTCAAAACTTCTTGGTCTACTTCCGCCTCCGCTTCTGGTGGAAGACGCACGAATCCCCACAGCCAATTGTTGATCACTTGCTGGTAAATTAGAAGTGCATTTTGTAGACCAAACCGCATTCGAATCCACTGGAATTGTCGAAATGGACATACGAAAGGTGCAATCAACTTGACTCTTTCGGTCATCTTAATTGCCCAGAAACCGCTGGCCATATTCAGGCTCACGAACGACAGTGCTTTCTCAAAACCAATTCGCAGGTCGTCGACGAGAGATAACGGGTAGCTAGGCAGCTGGAAGAAATTATTCACAAGTCGATAGTCGATACAAATCCCGATGTCCACCCCATTTTCTTAAGCACGATCATGATGGGAGATGCCCATTGCGATTCTGAATGTTCAATCAGCTTGTTCTCGAGCAATTTCTTGAGGGGTTCTTATACCTTGACTGCAACGAGTGGTCCAATCGATCTTGGGCGCAACGCGATGGGTTTGTTGTCTCCTACATCGAGGTCACAAACCACGCCTCTGGCGGGAGCAGGTGCGGCATTTCATCACCCCGGAAAACCTTTCTATGGCGTTTCAGGATTGCACGCATCCTTGATTCATCTTCGGAGAGGTCTCACCTGGGACTCCCACATCGACCTGATCGATGTTACATTCTGGATGCAATTCACTCAATTCTGGCAGCAAGACCAACTGGTCTCGCAATTTTGTGCCAGCATCTCGCTCCCTTCATGTACGTGTGGTCATACCTCCGGGCTTGCTCTTCATTTCCACAGGGTCATTCTTTCGACTTGGAGCCGACTTGAACTTCTGCTCCATGGCCATGAGATGGCACTTATGTTGCGCTCTTGCCTTCTCCTTGATGATATTGAATAGCATGAAATCATTCCTTTTTCCTCCCTGCACTCATACTTACAATGGAGCTTCACGTCAGCGCGAACCATCCGAGGCTCGAGGTTTCCAATCAAAATGGTACATCGTAACTTCATGCAATCTGCAAACCCTGCTGCATCAGGATTACCGACACCGAGTATTTTCCCAAATCCTTGGTTCTCGATGATGGTGGAAAAATCCAGATTTTAGCACTTGTGCGTCGATGTCATCTTCTGGCAAATTGATCTTCAACTTCTTCTTGAAAAGCTCATCCAAATCTGGGATTTGCTCATTCATCACTGCGCCGATCCTTTGCTTAATCAGCAGAACAATCAAATCATTACTGACATCGTCGACGGCTTTCCGAAGCTCGTAGAGGCAAACCACTTCTAGTAGTTTCCGGTCAATAGTAGCCTTCATCGGTTTCATTTCTCCTTCCGTTTGCTCCTTACTCTCAAGGCAGCGTTGCCGGATTGTCTCTTCATACTTGCTTTCATTATAACCAGCCCACTGTGGCTCCAGTGGGTGCTTGGATAAATTCAAACACCGGTTGACCAACTGACTTCATCGCCACATCGCCATCAGCTTCGTACTGATGCGTGTTCGTTGTCATGCCTGCTGTCCCTAAGGACTAAAGTATACTTTGTGGTAGTTTCCAATACTTGAATGTTGTTGCTGGTTTGATTGCAAGTTTAGAAGTGAGCTTCCTACGACTAGACTTCTACTTCCTACGCTCCACTCAACTGCATTGGGCTCTTGTCGAGCCCAGCCTTGAGAGTCTAGTACCAGGGTTGCCGCTGCAACTTCACCTTGATAGACTAAATGCATGTCAGGATGGTGTTCTTGATTGTAGATAGTCTGAGGATAGCCTGTTGGCTGTGCCACACACTACATACATGTAGCATTAAATCACTTGTACCGTGGTTGCTTCAATTTAAAAAAGAATGAAAGTCAATGAGTAGAAGATCTCAAGCAACCCCACACCAGAGTGTCGTCTGAAGACTGGGCCCATCAAAGACGTTTTCCTTTTCAATCATTGATTGATTGTAAAACTAAATTTCACTATACTAAAAGTCAAACGACTGGTCTAGCTGAAATGTGGAAAACGAATCGTGAGAATTTTCTGATCAACATCGAGTGCTGCTGAACATGGCCATTTTCGGGCAATACATCTAAAGCGTATGTCCAGATTTCTTGATATTCTCTCTCAGTCGGACTGCTCTCCTGATCTCACTTGCTGCTTTCTCCGCCTTTTGCCAAGAGCTCCACTTTATACCTTGATTCTGGAGCCAATTCCCAAACCCGAAAGTACTAAGACTTCTCGTGAGTCTCCCTTCTTCTTCGTTGTCCTCAGAATATTGGTTAGCTCCGTCAAGTTGGCGCCCTCCACCAGCGATAGGACTCGAGTCCACACTGTCGATCATAAGCTTGTTGTCCATTGTCGTGTGGGACGCAGTGCTGGCGTGGTGTGTGACCACAATCATCGCAGCTAGGATGTAGGTGGCGCGCATAAGGTGATCGATTCTTGGAACTACGAAGTATACAAATGAGGTTATTCGACTTGCAATCCCCCGAGCAAATTTACGAATGATGTTTTCGATGACAATACCATTCATCAGATTTATACCGTTAACCAGACAACAAAATATCCGTATGTTGGAGTACTCTCCTTCGATTGTATGGAGCGAGATATCATAAGGCATTGACATTCAAATTGTACGGCGCATTTGTTAGTATCAAACAGAAAATCTACATGACATTGTAGATGTCCATTGGCCAAAGTTCGACCATATGACTGCGAGCAGACGAAGTGAATACAAATATCTAGACTCCCAAAAATTCAACGCTTGCACGAAATCTCTTAGTATCCACCAGATAGAGGCTTTGAAACACTCAAATTTCTTATATATGAGACATCAATAAGTACAGGATACCATTACAAAGAGAACCGTCTGTTCTTCACGTTTAGAACCGCCAACAGGATGTCCGTAGAAGTGTTGTGCAAGGATAGGAAAAAGAAGCAATGGTGATAGAACTAATCACAACCTTCAGGTGAAGCAGCGGGAACGAAAGATGTAAGAGATACTAGAAGAGTATATAGATGTATTCTATATAGATTGCTACCTTGACGTCGTCAATACATGGTCTTCTTGGAGATGAACAGTGCAGTGCGCCAGTGCAAGTTGCTAGATATAACTGCTGTTTATCGTGAGGTTTTCACGCATTTGACCGTATGTATTTCCATTTCGTTAGGAGTGGCGAGAGATGTATGAAGTATGGTGGAAACTTCAACACGTTCAGTACAGTACATCAGTTATAAAAGCTGATGTACTTCGGAGAATAAAATGTTTATGCTTTTAAGGCTTGATTGAAGACCAAGACAGGCCGTCACAATCACGATACAATACTACCGCACATCGATATTGGCTATCACAATTCTAACGGTATGATAACACGTATATGATGTGTTCGCTGGTTACCAAGTTACTATATACGGTGCGTATTTTGGGCTGACACCATAAAAAATCTAGACACTGCTATTCACTGTTGAAGGCCACCGTGGCGAACCACCTATTATAATGGTATCTTCATTCGAGGATGTGCGTCAGCGAATCTCAATGCCCGATCGAGGTAGTTGCAAGAATCAGAAACGCGAGAGCTAGTTATGATTTGTAGTGTTTTGTAAAAAAGACAAACATGCTCTTCTCCACAGGTGGCGTTCACAGTACATCATCGTTCATTGGTGATGAACACGCGCTTATACCGTACATCACTACCGCTCATCACAAAACCTTGCTCGTTCCTGCGTGCATCAAGGATGAGCGTTGATGAACGGCAAAAAATAGCGACGTTATACCTACATGTATAACTTTCATCGTGCATACAATTCACACGTACTGCTCAACACTAAATTTACAATCACGCTCCTGTTCTGTGTTTATGTTTGGGTACCGACTAAATTGTGTATATTTGTAAGTTACAAATTGTAACTACATATATGGTGTTATCATCATTTCCGATATTCGTAAAATCGATGAAATAAGCAGTGTCAGCAGAAAGGTACTGAAAAGTCTGGTGTATTCATGGTAGACAGTATACATAGTGTGCATCATACTAAATACATATACTGTACAACATATCAATAATCTACTATTGAAATATTGAACGTGTTTTATCGCAACTGCAGGAATACGTTGATTAATGTTTGATAAGATTCATTACGACAATATAGATTAGTTTTCAATAGCTACATGAATATTGACCAAAACAAATTTCGACAAAAAGATGTTTTTCTTCATTACTTCGCTCAAGTGTTTGGGTCGTGATAGGCCTTACTAGGCCTATTACTAGTCAAATTAAAGCTTGGCAGGAAAGTCACCATGGATTCCTCAACTTTCTGAATTGGTCAAGGTACTTGTAGTTCGGATGAGTCTTGATCACTTTTTCGGGTTTCCACCGTGTGACCGATCCATGGTACGCATGCGAGTAGTGCCTTGTACCGTGATCAATGTCCAACATTCTCTTCACATAGGATTCTCCTCTTTTAGCGTTCGCCCACAACTTCACGTACAATATCTTCTGGGCTTCCACTGTACCGAAATGCTCGTTGTATCTATTGTGACCTCTGTACACTTGCCTCTCATACCTGGTTAAAAAGCGCTTAAACAGTTTCAGCTCACTTGTTCTATACTGGTTAGATAATTGGTCCAGCTTCAAAATTCTCCAGAACGAAGACGGAGTATAGACTTTGCGTAAAACCAAATCGTCCAACTGGAGCCCCTCAACCTTATATAGGAAATGCTTATACGTCCTGTGCTTTGGATTGGTCTTCATAGCAGCTTCTGTTAATCCCGTGAGTCCCAATTTCGTCTTAACTTCTGCCTGGGTAGTACCAGAATAAGCCCAGTACGTCGACTTGAACCAACTCTTAATATTCGGCCAAAGTCCTCTTTCTTCTGTA